CCCCAAAACCCCAAAACCCCAAAACCCCAAAACCCCTAATAATTTAAAGATTGTTGAACTACTGGGATATTTCTAGATCTGTAAATAACTTCTGGCTCAGTTTGGAGAACTTCTTCCTAATTTCATTCTCCCTCATCTCTACTACTTTGCACCTATCCATCTGCTGCTCGAGGATGGCATTGTATTGCTCTTCAGTCTTGAGGCGGTACTTCTCTTCTAACTCAAGTAAGCGTCATATTAGGTATGAAAATTTTGCATAATCTTCTAACGTGAGTTCTATGGGTTCGATCGAACTATCATTAAGAGAATCAAAGCTGAGGTTCTCCATCCCAGCTTTCTGCATAGGATCTGCATTGGGCATTGAAAGAATTTTGACTGGGTCAAGATCGTTGATTTTGAGGAAATATTTAAATTTAACTTCAGATTTGAGCCCTCTGAGCTGTTTTCTCACATTAGCAACTTCTAAATCCTACATATTAGCTGAGAGAGGATACCTGAGAGGAACGGAAGCTTGCTTCACTATCAGCTTCGGATAGAGATTCCTCAATCATTTTATTTAATTTCTTGTGTCGATAGTAGTTTGGCTTTCTGGAGCTTTTCAGTGTTGATTAACTCTATCTGACCTTCTAGGTCTTTTATTCTGGTAATCTAGAATTAAAGCACAAAAGATACCAGACTTGTATTGGCATCTGAGTACTCAGAGATTATTTGATTGGCGTTATCCAAGCTTGACCCTAAAATAGGTGAGAAATATGCCTACTCAGTTTACTGATGTAATCCTTAGCATCCTGGAGCTTTCCAGCTAATCTTTTGACCTTCTCTTTGGCTAGTAGCATTCAATTAAGGATCTCTTTTTCATAAGCTGTTTGATCTACTCCTAGACCTTTTCCGATTTCTTGGATAGCTGAGATATCAATTGTTGGATGTTCTAAAGACCTATAAAGGCATCAGAGGCATTGCTAACCTATCCAGATTGAGGGCATCATCGGGCGATTGTCTTATCGGCAAAGCATTATATGATTTAGCAGCTATGATCCCATATTTCTGTCATCTTTCCTGGCTACCAAAAGTAAAATTGATACTTACTGTCAGCTAATTCGTTAAAAATATCTGCATTTGACGGCTTCAGCCTATTTGGAACTTTTCCTTGGGTTTTGCTAGAAGTTTTTTTGATCTCTTTCATTGAAGAGATTTCTCTATTGGTGAGGCTCTTGGTGAATGGTCTCTGGGCTAAATCCCTGACTGGCTCTGTTTCGTGCCTCGGAAGCTGGAAGTCAGCATCTAGAGTGATCAAAACTTGGGATTACCCTCTTGAGTCTTATTTATTAGGTCTTTGAGATGCTTCTTCATTTTAGAAGACTTCTTCATTCCAACTGGAGTCTTTGCGCTTTGGTCCATTTTGGGAGTTTTGTTTTTGTTCAGATATTTTAGCCTTTTATCAATTCCATTAGTGGACTTCTTTAGGTTTTTGGAGGTCACAAATCCTGAAAAAAGTTTCTGCTTCCTGCTAATCTTTCTAACAGAGTTTTGCTGAAAAGCATGAGAAGATGGGTTTATCGAGCTCCTCCCGTCCACACTATTTTTCTCAGATCCTTCTAGGGAAAAATGAGACATCTGGTTATTTAGCTAAAAATACGTCAATATTATGCTTGCAGAAAGTTGTTCATACCTGCATTTAAGTCTTGGTGTGAGAATCTAAGGCTTGAAACACTTTTCTCCTACAAATAACCTCTGGGACAATACCTTGTGTGAATAGTGTCTAAAATTACTGTTACTAGTGCTTCTGATTGACATTTTTATTGTTTTCAACTTATGAAACTCTCCAGGGGTTTTGGGGTTTTGGGGTTTTGGGG